GAAGGCTTAATCCTTTTAACTATGTATGTCAGTCTCTTTTTACTTTTCTGAGATAGCCTTAAGATTCTAGTCTTTTGGGAGCTGAACTTAAGTACGTCATTAACAAATTGAACTGTCCCCATGCTATCTTCTATTTGAAGTTCAGTGGGACCCAGCTGTCTGGACATTCGTTTTTATTTCTCCTCCCAGAGAATACAAAGAGGTTGTTAGCATGTGTCCCATGCAAAGAATATTCAAAGAATTTTACAAACATTGTTACAGAAAATAATACCAGGCAGCTATTTTAAGTGTCAGATTTAAAGCTAATGGAAAGCCACTAAGCCCATGCATGGAACAAGTACATAAATCAGCCCAATAAAACAGCTTTGTAAATATTTATGTTCTCTGTACACTCCATTTCATGCTTGCTTCCTTTACCTTCACCTCTTGAATTTCCTGTTTTTAGATTATACCTATGACTGGCTTTAGTTATCTACCTGACATTGCTTAATTAGTTACTACTTCCTCTGGTATCGTTTACCTTAATCCTAAATCTTTACAGACCTTAGGAGTTGGATGCAATTTTTAAACAAGTCTCAGTAGGTCTGATGTGGGAGGACTCTGCATGATCAATTTCCTGCCTGAGAGAGAATGGCCGGGCAGCCTGGCAAAAGGTCAATCAGCACTATTGGTGAAAGAGCTCAGGAAGTCATCTTCTTGACTTTCCTGACATCAGTTATTTCAAGTGGCTTTACGCTCAGTGGCCCAGGTTGACAGCCATTCTTGTTTCTCTCATGCATGGGAATGGTAGCATTTATGGGGACAGGATATTTGAATGGAGGACTGGCAGACTCTAAGCAAGGAGAAGACCATTTTGGGAAAGGTGACATCAGGTTTGATTTTAAATTATTGGTACGCATACTTCTCACTTGTGAAAAAGTTGGCAAACCATGCTTTGCTTTGCCTGCTTGTTCAGAATAATTTAATCTGTCTAAAATATCTGTTTCTGCCAGAAAACAACAGATGCCTGAACTTGGATTTTGTGAGTTATTTGGGGCTTATACTTCCTAACATGTGACTCATAAAATATGCATATGTAGTGACTAAGGGGAAATTCATGATTAAAAACAATGGTTAAAAAGACACATTGGACATGACTACTGTTATTTGTAGGACTAGTCAACATCTTTCCAACAGTGTTCAGGAATCCTAATAGCACCAGTGTTTTTATTCTGTTCCCACTAAATATAGAAGGCTAAAAATGTATTACTTGCTGTACTGGTTATTGAATTCATATTTGAGGAAAGAAGAGAGACTTTATAGTCCACATCCATCTATGAGGTTTCTTGGATCTTATGGTTTTCACTAGGACTGGGAAAGCCTGTGATTAATTATTTCCTGTGCGTATTTCTCTATGTGCACGCTCTCTTTTTATTGGGCAAAATCAGTGCCTTCACCTTAAGAATGAAGATTTTTTCCCTTTAATCTTCACCTCTCCACCCCCAATTGGCTAAACATTTCAGTCCCACCCATTCCATGGATATCATCCCTTGCAGTCAGATTCTCACACTTTTCAGCCAGAGAATCCAATTATTAATTGATTTTAAGAAAGATGCATCTTTCACCAAAAACATTATTCTCCTCCTTGACTGAAAGCATCTTTCCTATGCATCTCACAGTATAAGCCATTGCCATAATTCCCAGAAATTGTGGCTGGAGGATGCCAGGATAGGAAAGTCTGGTTTCAATAAGGCAAATGAATTTCCCTTTAGTCACTGCATATTTTATGAGTCACATGTTAGGAAGTATAAGTCCCAAATAACCACAAAATCAAAGCTCAGGCAGCATCTGGGAATATGAAGGTTCAGGTCCTCCACTGAAAGATTCCTAGTGAAAACGGCATTGCCTCCATGTTAGTAAGACTGAATGCGGCTTCCGGTTTGCCATCGCAGCTGCCGCAGCCGCTGGAAGGCGAGCTCCGTCTTCCGCGTTAGGTTTTGTTCCACTGGGGGACCTGGAAAGGGTTGAAAGTCGCCCTGTAGGGGTGATGAGCAAGGAGGGGACCCCCACTTGATCGTGGGAGGGCGGCAGCCCTTCCACTTGATGCGGGGCAGCCCTCCAAACCGGCGGAGGAAAGACTGGCCATAAACAATATGGCTCGTCACTAGGCTGCAGACAGTCAAAGTCACACTTGCCACCAGGCACTTCTAAAGCAATGCGGGTGAAACTGGGTGAGATCCAATCTTCTCTCTAAGATCCTAAGTATTTTTCTTCCTGTAAAAGCTGCCCAAAGTATCTTTCCCCCTGTGAAGAGAGAGGGAAGGGAATTTATATCCCACCCTCTAAGAATACCAGCGACTGACTACCCAGGGGAGTTAAAGCACTAAAAGAATAACTTTAATCTAATTAGATTTATATGTTTCTGAAACTTGAGGACCAAAAGTTTTCTTATTTTCACCGAAGACTTTTGTTTTTATCTATAAAAAAGAAATAAAATTGGAAAAAGGACTATAAAAATTTTGGACTTAAAAAACTTTAAGCAGCATTGGTGACATCCTATGGCAAAGCTTGGTATTACAACTTGTTATTGCCTAAAGGAGACTTGGCTTGAAGCCCAGACTACAGATAAGACTCTTTTAACTTTGATAAATACCATCTGTGAGGTTCAGCTGTAAAGAGAACTTCTGGGTAGCATAGCTGGTCTCCTTGAACTATGAATGTAAACCTTAATAGATTTTTAGAGCCGTATGTGAGGAATTGCCTTCCTACTTTTTTATCTGAGGAATATTGGTCATTATTTGAGATGATGAAATACCTTGGATTATAAAATCTTACTTGACAAACAACTTTTACTATAAAGACTACTTACAAACATGTGAAATAGAGGTCCCATACCCAGCTATAAAATTATTTTCACCGTCTGATTTCAAAGTCCTAAACTTAACACACCATTAAGAGAAGATGGATGAAGATCAGGAAAATATTCTTTCTATGTTGAAAACAATACATGAAACCATCCTTTCAGCTTGTGACAAAATAAGATGTTACAGAAAAGAACAAGATGTCAGCTTAGATATACAAACTCAAATTCCGACTACAACTAAAGAACTAACAACGCAGAAGGTAACAGAAGAAGTGGAAGAATCAAATATTAAGACAGAGAACTCAACTGACCAGCAAATACAGTCAATGGAATATCCAGAAAAGGGACTGACAACACTGAAAATGGAAAAGACTTTCTATATAAATCAGAAGAGATTTGAGGAGCAAGAAGAACAGACTGAATGGAAGATAAACATACCAGGACAATTATGGGGATTTGGAATAATAGGGAGACGACTTAAGGAATACAAATGGGCTAGCCCTTCCAGAAAAATGGCAACTAAATGGTCTCCCTTATTCCAAACAATATATATAATAATAGAGGGAGATCTATTTGATGATTTAAAAGCGTTGATATGGAAGGCTAGTTGGCAAAGAAAGAAAGCCAAAATAAGGCTGAAGAAAATTGGAGTTTTGATTTTTCAGAGGGGATTTCATATTACTAATTAGAGGGCCAAAGGGAGAAGTTGAGATAAGGAAAATTTTGGTCATTAAATTTAAAACATTTGGAAATTAGTTGAAAACAAGGATGCTATTTGTTTAATACTTAAAAATTAGACCTAAAAGAAAAAAAATATTATGAATATGTTTGATTTATTGATTAACTCAGATAATATATATAATGGGCTTTGATTTATTAAAGGGGATATTGTATTATTAATTAGATGATGTAAGATGGGGGGAAATAGATAACTTTTAGGAAATAGAACAAGATTATACCAAATAGATAGATAGATAAGATAGATAATTTAATTTGTATACCGCCCTTCTCCCATAGGACTCAGGGCGGTTCACAGCATATTAAAAACAAATAATATACACAAAATACAAAAAATGCAAAATACAAAAATACAGAAATACAAAAAAATAAACCCCGATAAAAGCCGAATTAAAACCAAATATTACCAGCTGTGTTTCCAATTAAAATACT